AAAACCCCCCCCCCCCCCCCCTTTTGTAGTGAAAACTCAACCACCACAATAATGAGAATCAATCCAATTAAAGTGAATGTTACACTCTAATATTATCAGTTTTAATTTTGTATTAAACTTAAAAGTAAAAAATCAAGACTGAAAATTAATATTAATCTTTAATTGGAAAGTTAAAACTTTTATAAGTTACGACAATCATCCACAAGTTTTAATCTTTCAAAATAGATAAATATATATTATATAGTTGCAACGTTATACTATGCAATAGGTGTAAGTGTCTTTTGAACTTGAACCTTACTTAGTGATGACAATTTCCATTTGAGGGAGCAATAATGGATTAAGTCTTAAATTAGGTCCATTTAACTGAACTTCAATTGTTCAACACTCGATTTCGATTTGGACTCTAGTTCATAAGGGGTTGCACTGTTAATAACCATGCACTCGAATCTTAATTCTAGTAAAAGTTTGTAGAAAATAGCCCAATCTCATGGCCACGACCTCATGGCAACTCTCACATAGGTATAAGTCTTTCAAGAGCGTGTATGATCCACACCTCATGAGAATTGTCGCATCGATACTCATTCAAGGTTATATTATTCCTAACATCACATTATTATTAGTACTATCACCATAGAGATGAGAACAAATAAAATAGTACTATTACAAATCATCAATGCAGGTTGTTTCAACCATATTGATCTTTCTTCATGGAATCTTCAATCACAAAAATTGTGTTATTCTCGAAGGTGGGTGCTGAAAAAGAAGCAGCCCAACCTCTACCTCTTCAAGAAAGCTTTGATTGGTAGGCGCTGCCTACTCATCGGACAATGCTCTAATATTGACTGACATTATCTATAGCACAGAAGAAGGATATTGATGCAAATCAAGCCTTAATAAAATGGACTTAGGTAAGTGTGGGATAGCTGTTCTACTACGCCTCCCCGCCATGTCAATGGGTAGGCTTAAACCTATCCTCTTGATGATTTCTTATATCCATTACTGACTATAATTTATTTCATATCTCTTTTAGACAATAATTTGGTACCATCAATTTGCAAAATTTTTATTCTTCGCTTGTACATCTCCACTTCTGCATAGTCTTTTAAAAACATCGATAACACATATTTAATTATAATATTATAAACATATAAAATTTAAAAATTGACTTCGAGTAACACGTTCGAACATATGCATCTGTTCAACTCTCGTATTTTACCTGTGCATCTACAATCTTTTTTTAACACTTTTAACAGTCAATTTTCCAAATAAGATGTATTATATTAAACACTCCCATATTTCAAAGATGTAACAATTCATTATCAATTAATGCCTCAATCACAATGTAACGTTAATCAAAGCATCAATGCATATACACCGTACTCATCCGTATATATCACATATGTGGATGATTATATTAAATATTTAATTACCATTATGGCCACCAAATTGATGTCAATAGTCACTAATATTTAGCACATATATATATTCAAAATTTTAATACCTACTAACTTATGAAACTTCCTTTCCATAATGAGGTTAATATTAGGATGATAGCATGGTTAACTACACACATAATTCAATGTTATAAGACTATTGGTCAAGATTAATATCCCATATAATTATTAAATAGATTATCATTAAT